GCCGGAGTTAAACCACGACAATTTATATGCAGGTTTGTTGTATTGTGGAATAAGAATCACCTGTGGCAAAAAAGAATTGCATAGAAAATAGTTGGTTACAGGAAAATTTAGCAATGGTAAAAATACTTGAAACACTAACTTTCTGAGATCATAATAAATTCAGCCATTAAAAAAGAGTTTCTGAATGTGTGGTTAAAAAAGACTTGTATCATATTTCTGTCTGAAGGAGTTTAGCAGCTTCTTAGCCCCGTAAAATTTTAGACCATTTTTTCATTCTACGGGTATCTAATAGGTCTACAGACTTCAGTTTGACTTAGGTGTTTATGATCTCATCACAATGATCCTTTTATTGTTAAATAGGTAAAATTATGTTGGTTGAAGCCTAAGAGAAACAAGTATTTTTGTATCGTATAGCTACAATTCAAAAGCTATTCGGTAGCTGCATTTCATTCATGTAAAAGAAGACTTGACCAAATCAAGAAGGTCATTGATATGTCGTTGTGTCTATTACACAAAGATGTTAATGAGATGTTGTTTATTATTACTATATTTATTCAGACACGGAACCCGGTGTGCAGGAGAAATTGCCATGCAAGCCAACAACAGAAAATGTGGTGTCGGAGTAGCCTACAATTCCAAAGTTGGAGGTAAGAAGACAAAAATAATTACATGTCTAATAGGAATGGAAACTGGACAGATCCTGTGAAATGCTGAGTGTTTTCAGCTATCATTAATCTGAAATACACATGGTCAGTCCTTCTCAGAAAACACCAGTCCTGCGGTATTGGGCTACAAAATCTTGACTTGGCCATTGTGCACAGTGTTACATCTCTGTGACAGCATTTCTCGTGTGTCAGCATACTCTCTGGAATTTAGTTATCAGTCAGATATAGGTAGAATATATAACAGCAACAACACCAATATAGGTTGTATTGATGCTGTTGGTAATAATAACAACAACCTATATTGTACCCTGAGATAAGACTGTATCTTTTATGGAATGATGGACTCACTTCTTACAATGGGTTATCTTGGAACAAGGTGGCATGGGGGAGGAGAGGGATTGAGAAGCGTGAAAGTAAGAATATACAAATTTATCCCCACCCTTGCTTGCAGCATATTGTTTCCATCTGCACAATTACATTTAAAAGGTCCTGTCACTCAAGATATTCAAACAGCTGTGGTTTTTGTTTCAAAAGCTTACTTCTCTATCATCTTAAGTTAATTTTGAAAATAAGTGGAGTCTTGCTTTCTCGTCAATCAATACTGCGAATTTTTTTGAAGTGGTGGCTGAAAGTTTAATCCATTAGAGGTTTATGAAATAGTCATGATCAAAGTATCAGATGCAAGTGGTTATTTAGCTCAAAGGAAGATACTTGTACAGTCCTAGTTTTTCCATTACTCTGTCCCTTTGTTCAAAAGGAAAAAAGGATGAGTGGCAATTGACACCTGTATTTGCCATTCCCACTAAGGAAAGCCAAAGCCCTAACAGAATTAAACCTGGCCAGGGACATCAAGGCCAACAAGAAGGGCTTCTATAGGTACATAG